CATTGCTAGCCCAACATCAGAGACCATAAGTCCTGTTAAGAACAAATATTCTAAGATAGACAGAGAGGAGTAGAAATTACAGAATGATAAATTGAACAGTAGAGTAAGGTGAGATATGTGTAAGTAGGAGATAATAATTACCACTACAACTCAGATAAAACTATTCAGAATAAATGCATAAAAATACCAAGGAATTTTTCAGTTATTACTTCTTATAAAATATATGCTGGGAATGAGAAACTTTAATCATAAAGAGAAAGCAGAGAAGAGATATTATCATGGTGTCTCACACTCAGTGATAATATTTACTCAGCAAGAAAGATAACACAAGAACGAGAACAAGAAACAGAAAATAACATAGGAAGAAAAAACATTATAAAAACAAACTATCTATGGTGCTGTGGGATCACCTAATATCAGACTCACAAAGGCACTGCTTGATATTCACCTCAGAGGATTTTTCAGAAATAGCACAGGTGAATGCCCTTAAAACATCATGTTCTTACCAAAATCCCATCACCTTAACATACCACGTTCTCCCATATCTTTCTGGCTTTCTGAATCCATGCTGGAGATTCCAGGGAAGAGAGAGGAACAATGTCTTATATTTATACACACATATACACCAGGTAATAAATTCATGCTAGAACTACTGTTCTGTGAGATGGAGTCCTCCCACAGATCACCCATGTGTCATCTTTCTGCTCCTTCAGCAGCAACACAAAGGAGAGAGACACTTGCCTTTTCAAGCTGTACTCTTTGATCAAATATTTGTCCTTCCAGGAAAAAGACATAAACCTGATCTCAGGTGTTTTGTGGGTTGTGTTCAACACATGGGTAGACAATGAGACCATGTTTGACTGGCTTAACCAAACGTCAGGGAAATTCTTTATAGAGCCCAACCCCAGCTAAAGAAGGGGGTTTCATATAAATTTTAATGAAAATCTTGTTAAATATTAAAACATAACATGTGTCAGAATGTTTCAATCCAAGCAATTAATGATTTAAGTACTGTCAGATTGCATTTGTTGCTGAATAATGAAATGAAAATCATGTTTGTTGCATTGATTATGTCAAAAAAATTAAATAGTTTGATGGATATTATTAAGGTTTCACTGAGTGTTAGATTATGTTATTGTTTACCTTGGGTGAACACCAGGTATTCACTGGGCCTGCGCCCAACCTCTCTCCAGAGGGAAAGGGGAGGAGGGACGGGGGAGAAGAAGGGAAAAAACTACGATAACAGAAACTGCAAAAAAAACCCAGCTTTATATGTACACAGAGAGGAAGAAAAAAAATTATAAACACTATACACACAGAGAAAAACTAATAACAAAGACTACTTCCCACAACAAATGCTTTTCTCCCCTGAAGAAGTGGTCCATCCACAACCACGCAGCTACCTGGAAGAGAGAAGGACCTCACCTCCTTCTCGTCTTTTATATCTGAGCTGACATAACATAGTATGGAATATCTTATTGGTGAAATATACATCAGGTGATCTATTCTAGTTCCATTTTCCTCTCAGAGAGGGTAACAAATCCGCTACATATTATCAGTCATTTAATGAAAGATATAATTTTAAGCCCTTGTAGGTATTCTTATTGACGTAGAATAGAATAGAATAGAATAGAATAGAATAGAATCAGGTTCTTCACTCAGAGGATTGTTGGGCACTGGAACAGGCTCCCCAGAGAAGTGGTCACCTCACCAAGACTGCCAGAGCTCAAGAAGCTTTTGGACAATACTCTCGGGCACAGGGTATGACTCTTGGGAACAGGTCTGTGCAGGTTTAAGGGTTGGACTTGATGACTGGGTGTTCCTTTCAACTCATCCCTTTCAAATCATCATATTGTGTGATTCTATGATTCTGTTGTTCTGTAACATTAACAATAATGCAATATAATAAATAGACTAGAACAGAATAGAATAGAATAAAATAATGATGAAAGCTGTGTAATAAGAAATCAGAATTTTATTGAAGGAGAGTTGAATAAAAAGGCAGGGAATGGTGTAAAGTAAATAAATAAAGAACAGTGTGACATTTGTTAATACATTTTTGTAACTATTTGCATTCCAGACACACTTTGTTTGTTTGTTTTCAGGAATTCAATTACCTTGCAACATGCTTGACAGTACAACATGGAAACTGAAATCAATTCCCAGCATCAAACAATTCCCAGAGAAATAAAACCAAAACAAAAGACATAGTTTGATACAGAAAGATTTAAACTTTATTAATAAATAGGAGTGCTGGTACATAGCTTAGACAGGTTAAATGAATAGATTTTTCAGACACTATCAATATTCAGTAGTAACAGTAGATATTATAATGAAAGTTCTCAATAAATAGAGTTTATAGGACCAGTCTTGAGTATTTGTTACCCCAACATGCATGACCATGTATGTTAGACTTCAGTTTCCAAGGCCCACACTCTAAAATTCTTTTTCCAAATTAAAATCCATTTTATTATGGAAAAAATTTCCCACACCTATGATGCAGGGAATTGATTATTATTTATTTTCCAGATAAGTCAATAATTTTAGACATTATATCTCCCAGTGGAATAAGATTATACTGCTTTCAATGGGGGCTCCCAATCTTCCTAGTAAAATTGTTCCATCTTGTGTTGGTAAAACATGCTGAAATTCAACTATAGGGTAAACACTCTAATCTTTTTTATTACTCTCAAACCTAACTCTCAAACTCAACAAATATTTCAATACACTAGAATTTTTTTTTTTTTTTTTTAAAAAAAGGAACTACTTCAGAAATGGAATCAATGACATAATCCCAATGCCAGTTATACAGACCTATCCTAAGAGCTAAAAGACCAGAACTGACCTCAGTCTGGGGTGGAAATTGGATCCAATTCTCCATCATCTTCCATAAGCATCTTAAATGCAGCAATTTAAAAAGGAACCCTTCTACCAGAGGTTTGCAGTTTCAGCTTTTATCCATATTTTCAAGATGAATTCATTTTTAAAGACTAGTTTTTATTTAAATAGAGTATAGCAATCAAGACCACAGGTCTGGAAGTTTCTGAAAATTCAGCTAGTTAAATCAGAAACTGGAAATACATTATACACCACCAAAAAAAAAAGTTCATTCTGATAAGACTTTGTCTTGATAATTCAAAAATGCCACAGTGAAACTGTGTCCTTCTGCAGCCAATAACATTGAAAAAGTGGATCTAGTATTTTTTAAAGTGATATGAATGCTTTGTAACAAAGCAACCCAGACATAAAAATAGCTGGTAAAAAGCACTGATGTTCAGCACAGGAAAAATTCTTCAAATAATGCAGAGCTGGACAAGACATTCAACCAAATCTGGCAGAATCCTGCTCTCACTATTTTAATGAGCCACTACATGTAAACTTTGCATTATGTCACTTTTTATACCATTGTGATTACAATTATGGTATATATTCTCAACTGTAACAAGGGCACATCTGATACCAACCAGGTGTTGGCAGTTCTATAATACCACCAGCAGCCAGCTCTGAGGAGGATCCTGCAGATTGACAGCAGACAAGTAATAATGGACAGCTCCCCTGGCCAAAACTGTCCTGATGTAGCTGTTGCTTCCCAACAGATTGGTAGGACCTCAGCTCTCCAGCCTGCTCCAGGTGACACGGAGAGCAGCCTCCACCAGGATCCCAAATGTGATAGTCCACTGCCTCTGCAATGTCCTTTCTCCAGAAACAGCCTGCGTGCTTCTGCTAACTGTGCTCTGGAGTCACAGCAGCAGTGTCCATGATTTGAGACTTTCAGCAGCAGCAGCGTGCTGGGTCTCCATGAGCACATGGGTCTGACAGCCCAAGGCAGGCAGGCAGACTGGGTGGCCTGTGGGACATCCTTAGGGCCAAGCATGGGCACACTAGAAACAGATGGTGAATAGCCTCAGACACTTCAACCTTAAGACTGCTCCTGATCACAGTGCAGCAACAGGGTAAATACTTGGCCAATAATACACCTGAAAGTTGAAATTACATACTTTCATGTTTAACTTAAAAAACCCCAGTTCACATCAAAGGAGACTTTTTAATTCTCTCCTTAAGAAATAAAAGTTTTACTCCAAATATATGTTATAAATGTTAAAAAATATTTAAAAAATAGTAGCAGTAAGTATATATAATTTTTAAGGGAGGCTGAGTAGAATGGTTAATTTTTTAAGCATCTTACAAAAACTCCACTAAAACCTAAAAACTCTACTAATATAATTCACATACTTTTCCTATATTCATCTTTTCCCAGTAGTATTTTGTGCTTATCATATTAGAGTATGTTTTAACACAAAAGATAGGAAGGGTTTAGATACACATAAAGCATCAAATAATAACTATCACATTCTTTTCAGTTGGCAGCATTACTTTCAGGTTCAGTATATTCAGTGTGGAAAGCAAAACCACTCATAGAATGCAAAAACTGTTAATCCATGTTATTTTTGATAACTTCTAACTGTTATTACTCTGCAATGTGAAACCCCTCAGGAGTAGAGAAAACTGACAGATGTAATAAAAAAAAAAGACCACTTAGTCAAACATATTATTAAATTGCATGAAAATTCAGCATGCACAGAGTCTTTCCAGGTGTTTTAAAATCCAGACTCATTGCAAGATAAATTAAGTGTGCATGCTGTACACTGAACACCAAACTTCTTGACTGGCATGGGAAGATGGGGGAAAAGGGCAGAAAAAGCAACTGATATTCAAGACCTTAGAATATAAAATGCCAGGAAGGAAGCCATTATTTACTGACATGCCAGGTAATATTTGCAGTTTATTCCTTTTAGCTGCTAAATCTAGATTTCTGGGAAGGCTTAAAAAGAATTTAGGTGCAGAAACCTACAGCTGAAGACATAACAGCATTTCTTGAGTTTCACTGAGTTATGATAATTTTGAAAATTTCTACTCCTAATCCATCTGTGTTTTCAAATCTACATCTGTTATCCAGAGACAGTAAGCACTAGTAGAAAATTAAAAAAAAAAAAGGGAGAAAAAGAGCTGAAACTTAAAACAGAGAGGTATAATAGCAGTGTCATTAAAGTTGGTGGCAAAGCCCTGTTCAGAGCATCCCAAGCAGCACATACATCAATAAACCTCTTTCTGCTGCTGTAAAAAATTGTGTCTTATACACACAGAGCTTGTCATTATTTACAAATACTACACATTGCTAGCTGATATACTGCAGACAACTCTTATTTCAACTTACATAAAACTAAAAAAAAAAAATACAATTTTATGCTAATGGCAAATACTGAGTTTTGAGGTACTGTCACCATGCTTTGAGAACATGTGCTTTTGCACATATAGTTGGACCCTTATTTGCAGCATATTTGCAGCATATTTGCCATTATAAAGGATTTTGTTCTCCCAGACTGCTTGAAGTCACTACAAGAATAAGTTTTGTGGTCTGGGAGAGCTGACATAGAAGCCTTAGAACATATTGCTTTGCCTGTCCTGTGGAGCAACACTGCTTGAAAACCAGGGAAATTTACAAGCAGTCCAAGACACCTTTATATTCCTATGCTTTGGAATAATTATGAACTTGCTAACCCACTTTTTTGTGCATAAAGCTTTACATCCCTTTTGATCCTTTCGGTCTGTGTCCCCCACTTCCCTGTCTTCTCTTCTACATTAGTCATAGGTGATTACAGGGCATGGGTTACAGAGGTTTGGAGATGGTATTAATCTGTGTCAAGTGGTGACCTGAGGAAATCTCTAGCTCACAAAAAAACTTATTTTTAAGCCTGGGACCAGGCAATGAACCTTTTAACTAAAGAAGATGGATTACCAACCTTCAGAAATATAGGAAGATTAATAGTTTAATTATTCTATTATCATGATACATTTTTAAAGTCTGCTCACATGCATCCAGAGCTAGCTTTGCACAGAAATGAGGCAGAGAATTAAAATAAAGCACAATCATTAAAACCAGAACCCTGAGGTATATCAGCTCACAGAAATAAAACCTCCAAAGAACCTTTCTGAACCCAGAACTCAGTGAAATTATTTCATTTGCAGCTGCCTATTCTACCTTCAGTTTAATGAAGTAAAATTAATAGCTGAATTAATAACTTTTTCCTCCAGATTTCCTTAGTACATTCACAGTGTCTCAGAAATGGTCCAGATTATTTCATGAATGCCAGTTGCAAAATATATAAAAACAACTTCAGTTTAGAAAAACAACCAGCAGAGAAACTGGCAGAGAAAAGTGATAGCTTGAAATAGCATTTGCTGCTACTTCTGATTTTTAGACGTTAGATCTCCAAATAAGAGAATTAACAAAACCATATATTCTGGGCAAGTAACATCTAAGTTTAAATACAGACTACTATTAGGGTATATTTTACAAAACTAATTAGTGCACAGATCAGCAGTAATACTTCATGACAAAGAAAAAATAACAAACACTATAAATACCAAATTTATATGACTAAAAATAATCGGGATCAGAAAGCCATGCACACACACACGCAGAGATAATTGTCAGCTTCAAAGTCCCCTAATTTTCTACTTAGCAAACATTATACAATTATTCTTTAATAATACAAAGATACATTAAATTATTTGTTGATATTTAAAATTATCCTGCAGAATAACTGTAACAGTCTTCCTCTGTGATATGGTTTAATGGTGGTGTGAGGGCACCTGCATAAGATAATTAGTCATAGAAACACTGAGAATGTTCACTTCAATTCTGTGTGTGTGTGTGTGCACTTTGAAACAGTGGAAAGTTTGCTAGTCAGCTATTGACTTTTCCCAAGCAGATATAAAAAAGTTTGATTGTGATGAATCGCTGGTTTCTAAAACTGGATCTTTCCTAGAAAGGCACAGTTACTCAAGTAATAATCTCATTATTATCTGTATGAGTTGAATTGTCAGACAGGTGGTATAAACTCTCAAAAAGAATTGATAAGATGAATTGTGCAGGTAAAAGAGTAGTTCCGTCTTCCCATATATTCACATTAAAGAGTTAATTGTATCTCATAGAAGTGTCACCTACAACAATTAAATCATCTCTGTACTTGTGTTGTAATTACAATATTGTATCTGTTTGTGCCATTTGTGCTTGTCAGATGTGGTCAGCAATTACCTTGAATTTTGAAAATGGTTGAAATGTGGATATATACCTCTGAGATTTGATGCTGGTATCAGGTTCAAATTATAATGGGCATCAGAAGTGAAATCACAGGAGCACTGTGACCAGAACAAATTCACTGAGATCAGAACTCCATCCAGGTCTGGGAACTGTAGCCAGTTATCCTTAACTTTGGGTACAGGAAAACACTGAACAAATTGGCTTCACATTCTGCTTTGTCTTTCTATTGATATAAAATACTATAAATCCAAACTGACTAAAATTTTGCAGATGTACTTTATCTGGAGTAGTCATTGGTATTTCCAAGTTGTCAGATATAATTGCAGGTATAAATATATAATCACAATTCTCTTGATTTTTTTTTAAATCGCCTTTTCATTACCTGTGTCAACCCATGCTGAGTATTTTCCAAGTAAGAACTCAAAGTATTTGCAGATTATGCAGTTTATAAAGGCAAAAAAACTGTCTAGTGCTACATCATATTCTAGCACCAGTAACCTAATAAGCCTAGCTGTTAAAACTGTAAGCACGATGCTGACAGCTGGCTGAGAGTAGCTACTGATGATGTAGCACATACTGTTGTCACTAGATGCCTAAAGCAAGAAAACAGGTTTCACCAAACACAATACATGAATGTAAAAAACAGTAAATATTAACAAGCATGGTGAAATACGTAGTAAATACCTGCAGGCCACAACTTGAAACTGAATTACTGTAAGAGGAATGGATGAAACACAAATAAGCTGAAGGCATTGCTACCACACATGTGCAGGCTGCTCAGTGCAGCGAGAGAAAGCGGGACATCGCATCCGGCTGCAGACTCTGCTCCGCATACGCATTGTCTGCGCCAACAAGACGAGTGCACAAGGCCACAGCAAGTGCCTGTGAGCAGTACTGGCCACCCTGCACAGAGTCAAATTTCTTTGCTAAAGAGGAAGTAGGTACTGTGAAACATCAGCTCACTAAACTAAAAATAGTGTGTGCTGTCAGCAACCTGAACCACCAACACTGTACAATACACAGCTTTTGGGCCACGTTTGGCATTGCGTCAATCCCTTCCCATTGAGCTCCCAGTCACCACACTGAAATGAGGTTTCATTCCCATGTACTCTAGCTTCTACTAGCATATTCCTACCAGACTGATCACTGCACTTCGCATCACATGCAGGTATGATGGATAATCATAAGGGTAAACTGTTCTTAAAACTCAATCTGACTGTAAGACTGCTCAGAAATTTGACAGTGCAAAAGTGACACTTCTGGGGGATCTAGGGGATTTCGTAGCAATTTCAGAAGTACGACATACTTAAATATGTCATACTGAAGAACGTTAGATTTTTGGTGTGATGTAGTCAGTAAGATTGTATAAGGGCTAATGAACACCAACAATGCATCATCAACTTGTTGACAGGGATATGAGGAAGACAAAACTGGCAGCAGGCAGAGATTATGACAGTGCAGTAATAATTGCACCGTACCAAGCCGCAAAAAAAAACCCTGAGAAGCTGACAGACTGCAGTGACTGACCTTGGCTATCAACATCTTTTTTTAGGGTCTATTCCTGGATTTGCACACTTACTGTAACACCCTTGTGCTCTATGTAAATTTGAAGATTGCCTTGTCTTGTCCTGTAGTTCCTAAATTTGGGCACAAGCAAATGGTATATATGAGAGTCCTAATCAACAGAAGCATTGTGAATATTAGTCTCTTGCTTTAATTTAAAAGAATTAATTTTCATGAAATAGTTCCTTTTTTCTCATTTTTGTTGCCTTTGTAGATGATTCCTTCCCCAAGTACAGACTTGATCCTTCACGCTGGAGCTGAATGACCACAACAAAACAGAACAGTAAATCTCTAAATGCTCTACTTGTAGAGGAGGAATGAGGCAAGAAACTGCTCCGAATTATGTTACTGGCTCAAGTTAAATTACCAAGAACAAATTGAGAAGGTGCTCATTTTATAATGAGTAAAGGAAATTAAAGAAAGACACAGCAGACCATTTGAGAAATCTCTAACACCAAGAAGGAAATAACATATGTTCTCTGCTAATCTGATTTGAACAGTTGTACATAGGCATACCAGCTGTAGAGGAAAGAAACTGCATAAAAATTCAGTCGCTGAAATTGAAGTCCAAGTAGTAGACAAGGCCAAAAAAGGTCACCCAAAGGGAGATATTAATGGCTCAGACTCTCTTTCACTATTTGACAACTCTTTTTAAATACAGCTTTTTGTAGCACTTTGCAACCTTCTTCATTCGTTCTTCTTTTAAGTCAGTGTCCAATGAGTAGATGGGTCAGAAAAATTGATTAATAATTCTGAGAATATTGGGGCAATCTGCCACTTTGTGTCTACAGCAATATTGACGACATCTGTGTACATTTTACCAGGTAGGCACATATTGCACAAAAATGAAATTAGTGTAAACTGGTGAAACTCTATTGAAGCTGTTGAACTTAGGAACCTAGACTCAAGCCCTCCTGTGACACTTACAGGAAGGCCTGGCATAACAGGTATACTGTATTATCTATGTGAGCTATAGTCCTGTCTCCTGATATTGCTGAACAGAAACTATAGAGTTTAAGAAAGAATTTTTAGGCTATTCTCATGTTCCAAAGTGAAAAAGCCAGCAACAAAAGCTGGCTATCGGTGGACTACATCTTCTCTCCCTCTAAACAAGACCTTATGAATTCCAACATAACAGAAAAATCAAGTTGAGTCCCCCACTATTTAACTTTTTAAACATAAGTAGTCTGGGTGCATACAGATACATCAATCATTTATTCCAGTGGCATGTTTGAGATGCCAGATTTCAGTGTACCAGATTTTCAGACAGTGATCTGGTTGTTCTCTCTCTACCAGTTCTGAAGACACACCCCTACTGCAGAGAATAACTTACTTTATGTACTTTATTATTTATGTATTTTATTCTAGCAAGGATTTTACCTTTTCCAGTAACTAGAGTCTGCAAAGACGGAAAGATTATTTCTTAAAACAAAGAGTAATCTTGTTTCTGACTAAAATTTAAAGGATATCTGTACACATCCGCACAGCTCTTATTTCAGAAAGTACCAGAGCTAGGCTTATTATTCATTTCCCATGGAAAATAAAATCATAAATAATGCAATACCAGAGACTGGATCAGAATAGCTTTTAATAACGCAAAGTGACAAGAATAGGTATCTCTTTGCATACATTATCATTACAAGGTAAATAGTGTATCACCTTGGCTAAAATCATTGATTGGCTGTTTCGTTTCAACCTTGGGGCAGAGGATATATTCCTGCTTATTTTTAAAGCTATTGCTTCCATAAGAAAAAAAATTGGACATTTCTTCATCACTAATACATAACATTCAACTGGTTATATCAGCTTTATAGAGAGCAATATCTATGCTTCCAGGTCACTAAGGTAGCCACACTTTCTGACTTAGAATATGACCCAGGACAGCAAACTAGGACACCAATTGATAAATTAATTAAAAACCAAGGCAAGAATAATTACTACATTTAGTGTCTAGAATTATTTATATGCAGAGGTCACATTTTCTTTGTATCTTTGTGAATAAATGCATACACATACACGTATGTGTGTGTATGCACACACACACAAACACCTGACACCCGATTTTAAGAAAAAACTCATATTTCTTTCCAGCACAGACATTTTCTAGTGCAATACTTGACTGTAAATTCTTTCCTATCACAAAGTTATCAGAAGCTGCTAATATTTTCCATCCCAAAAGAAATCTTGTAAAGGAAATTCTAGCTTTGCCTTTTGCGTCTTTCATTCTGTCAGAGCAATTAGTGCAGCTTTGGGCTAATCAGTAATGTTCCAGGTGAAAAAGCTGTCATTTCACCAGAGACTTCTGGTGACATAACAAAATTCAGGGCAGCCATTTCATAAGAGAACATCTCTAGAGTTTCTTCCACTCAAACTGTCAGCTAAAACATGGTTTTACTGCATAACTGACACCAAATTAATAACAGAAGAGCTGTCTAACTTCAGAGTCATGGCATATGACAAACTGTGTGACACCTTGGCGAAAGAAACATTCCAGTACCTGTATACTATCATTTTCCATATCAAACTGCACTATACTGCCATAAAGGTGCTGGCAAATTCCTCGTTGCATTAAAAAAAAACAAGAGCCGCTGGCTGCTCTAGTTTAGGTGTGATTCTAGTGCTCTATACACATAAACATGCTTAAATAGAGCTTGAAAGTCCACATTCAGTACCTGACTTCCTCACAAGAAACAACCAGGATGGGAAATTTTTAGACTAATTCTACCCCTAGTTATACAAACGTCTTGTGTGACTCCTCTCTGGATTAGCAATGCCTTGGTAAATCAAACAATGGCTTTTCACTTGGTTTAACACTTGGGTTGAATGTGCAAAGAGCTAATTCCCATTTTGTTGTGTTAAAAATCCTCTCTGACCACCTCGTGAATGCTAATAATTTTGTCCCATCAGATTTGTCTTCCCCAAACAATTTCAGAAAAACATTAACCAAGAATAAGGATTTAGTAAAGAATATCCCATTTTTACCTGTTTTCTCTTGTACAAATGCAGAGCAAGTATTACCTCCTTCCTGCAAAAAAATCCCCAAAAAACCCAAAAAAACCCCACAAAATAAAACTTATATTTTAAAACAATGCTTAAAATTGATCTTATTTCCCACATAACTTTAAAAAATCTTGACATAAGAGTCCCTACAATTTTCAGCTAAACAGCAAAAATCAGAGAATTACAGAATCATGGAATCAATTAGGTTGAAAAGACTCCTAAGTTCAAGTACAATCTATGGCCACACATCACCATATCAACTAGACCATGGCACTAAGTGCCACATCCAGTCTTTCCTTAAACACCTCCAGGGATGGTGACTCCACCACCTTCCTGGACAGTCCACTCCAGTGTCTAATCAATCTTTCTGGGAAAAGGTGTGAGCTATGTAACATTTTTTCTCTCTGAAATCATAAAAGTATTCTTAACCCAAACTTAGGGTATTAACACAGGGATAATTTTCATTTTCTGGTCAACTATTGTAGTTAAATATTGCCTTTTTCCAAGTACACTTAACCCTACATCACAGAAACAAAAAAGTGATGTAGAATGTCTTTATATGGGGGTGGTTTGACAAAAAGAATAATTTACAATCTATGTACTATCACTACGTCCAAATCTCTTGAGGAATATATCCCAATGAACTACAAAAGAAACAAGCTCATAGGGATGTGTATTCCATTTTTAATCTGTCCAATTTAAAATTTTTGAAAATGTATCATGATTGCAAAGACAATGAGTTTAGTACTTTCCTAAATAAACTGCCTTTCTCATGGAATAAAAAGAAACCAGGAAATGTTATACACGTTTTCAAAAATACACTTAAAAGTCTGAAAAATAACATATATTCTTACACATCTCAAAATAATTATTGTCTTTAAGATTCTAATTAAAAATCTAATTAATTCTAATTAATAGGTTTTTATGAAAATTTACTACATCTCAGTAAGATTTTGTCCAAGTAAGTTAAACTCACAATGATCCATGGTAATGATATTTACACGCATGGAAAATCAGTGTTTTGGAGAATGTTACTACCCTGAATTGAGAGTATGCTGCAAAAATACATTTCCAAAAAAATTATCCTTAAATAAAACAAAATCTAAAACTAGCCTAATGCATGAAAATAAAAAGAAGGCAGTTTGGCCAGTTGGACACTGTGCTGCTCTGGTGAAAGATCTCTGGTGAAAATCTAGTCAGCAGGGAAAATTATTACCTAAAAACATGAAGATTTTTATCTAAATGGTAATCAGGAACCTCCAGATTCAGCATTCATTTCAATTCCAATTCTAAAGGGTTTACTTCAAGAGATGAACTCCTGACAGCCACAGAAGGATGAGAACCATGAAGTTTATAACAAAAACATATGAAAATAATTTTTCTCATTTAAAATTTTAAAATTACAAGTTAATAAATTTATTATGCACGATGAACTTCACATGTGCTTAATAGTAGAATTTATAGTACTAAACTAAATACATATGAACAAAGAAGTCTTTCAGCATGCAATGTGAGGAGTAAAGCCAGTTAATCCAACCTCAATTCCAGAAAGGAGAAAAAGGTTTTTGGAACATAATCCACTGGTGTTTTCTAGTAAGAAGCCTAAATGAGTGTAAAAGGTGCTTTTAAAATGTGTGAACATCTGGACCCTGCTAAATGAAAACAATGTTATGTAAACAAGAAATAAAAGGTTTTCTTCGTCTCATGTCTTTACTAGAGAAAAATTAATTTTCTTGACATGAATACATTGATGTAATTGATAAAAGTTTTAGCTGGCATAGTTCTCCATATGAGTAACTTGGAACTGATGCAGTTTTGCTATAATAAAACAATAAAAGCTAGGTTCTGCCAGGATTGTAGTGAATTGGCAAGTTCTAGGGGCCTCTGCAGAGTTCCTTTGCTCAATCTCTGTATATATTTGAGCCAAAAATTCACAAAGAAAAATAAAGTGTTTCTTCTATGACAGCTATGACAGCAGGCAGAGCTCACAGTATCTAGCAGAGAACTAGAGAGAGTTCTAATCTCACTTCTGAAGCATGGGTGCAGATAGAAATCATCTTCCAGTTAATTTCTCATACCATTTAGAAAAATATTAAAGCTAATTCATGAACGGAAACAAAACACTTCAATTGCTGCAGGCAGATTCCAAGTCTGCTACACACACACTATGGTCATAGCAAGATAGCAGGCTGTCTTCTACACCAGAATCACTTCCTTGCTCTGCCTCCTGAGCTGCAGAACTCCACAAAGGTCTCTTTTGGAACAGTCAGCTCCCAGCTGACCTTGACAACTAGAAGGTGCTCCTTGACTATCCCCTCCCTTCATCATGTATGGCCACTATGTCCTCACCATTCCATAAATTCAGTTAATTATGCAACATTACTCTGATGATCATTAACAAAGGCAGAAAAACAAGTAGAGACAAACCTGAACACTATAATAGATGAGGCAGATGTGCTTATTCCATGACTGAATTCTGTACAGATTGTAAAAAATGCCGGGTAGTCTATGTCAATGATGATTCTAGTCAGTGATGACTGACTACTCCTCACAGAAAAAGTACCAAAAAAACCCCAATCCAGTAGTCTTGAATTCATTGAAAATTTTGACTTGTGCCCCCAGGCTGCTATATAACTGTGAAAACTGAGCACAGTTTTCCAGTATCTTCTCCCTTCATATTATCACATCAATTTCTCAATGTCCTGCCTCATGAGTATTTTAGGAGCCCCCACATTCAAGGCAGCTGAGCACCAGCCACAGGTAGACCCTCGTTTACTGGAGGAGGGATGTTAAGCAAATTTGTAAAGTGAATAGTGAGAATCTATTAACGAAACTTTTCTTTTTGTGTCTGTGGTCTTTTGGACTTATCCATTTCAGATTCAATTAGAATGGAAGAGCTCGACACTTCTACTTCTTTAGAGCAGACTATCTCCTTTCTACCCATTCGTTTCAGACTGCAGAGGTTGCAACAGCCTTTTTTCCTCTTCAGTGTTTACTAAAACAGGGTATCCCTCTGACTGAGTTTGCTGGATTACACAGCACCCTAGATAGCATCTCTGCTACTCTTCCTTAAAAAAAAACCTATAGTTTGCCTGTCTGTATTATGAATTAAAGATCACTTGAAAAGTGTTGTTAAAATAGACTATCAGCTCCTAGTTTTGAGAATTCCAATAGTGTCTTAAGAGCATTGTAGTCATGAAAACACAGTTGCTCTTCTTTAAAGACTTTAATCTGCTTTAGTTTCGAACAAAAGAGTTAAAATGAATGGAACTGTTGGAGCAAGTCCAGAGGAGGTCCATGAGGTTGATAAGGGAACTTAAGCATGTCCTCTACAAAGACAGGTTGAGAAAGTCGGAGCTGTTCATCCTGAAGAAGAGAAGGTTGTGTGGATACTTCAACCTTCCAGGATCTGAAGAGGCCTACAGGAAAGCTAGAGAGGGACTACGTATCAGGAACTGTAGAGATAGGACAAGGAGTAATGAGTAAAAATTGAAAGAGAGTAGGTTTAGATTAGAATTAGGAGTAAACTCTTTACTGTGAGGGTGGTGAGATACTGAAACAGATTGCCCAGGGAGGTTATGGATGCCCCAAATCTGGCAGTATTCAAGGCCAGGTTGAGTAACCTGGTCTAGTGGGTGGTGTCCCTGCCCATGGCAGGGGCTTTGGAGCTAGATGATCTTTAAGGTCCCTTTCAAACCAAACCATTGTATGATTCTCTAATAGCTACTTCAGGAAATTTATGTAACTTCTCAAAAACAGTAAATAAATCAGGTCCAGTAAAACGTCAACAAGATAGTGAGCTAACGATGAGTCAATTATCTACTAGTCATGTTTGTATCGTGTGACATTCCTGAGAACATACCAGCTGCCAAAAATGTATTGTGCTTTGTACCAAATATATTTCCACATACCGACAACTACAATGCATTCAGAAGCTAACATAATGCTGAAGACAACATCAAATGCAGCAAACTTCTAGAATTTCTACTTGCCTAGCAAATTATGCAAAACTTCATCAACTTTTTTTTAATGCTCAAACAGTAGGATGCATACATGGTTAGGAAAAGTTTTCTCTGCTGTGAATCAAGAAATAGAACAGCTAAGAACAGAATTAAACCCAATGCATCACTGAAGTTAATAAAATTCTTTTAAATCACACTTACATTGATTTTGATACTGTTATTTATGTGAAATCAATATTAAGCATGGAGAAGAGTATTTAAGACAATAAGATCTTAGAAAAAGTTAATTTTTAAGTTCTATCAGAATACTATGATTCAGAAGACAATGCCTTTTTTTAATTATTTAATAGAAGCTGAACTACATTTTAATTTTCATTTTGTCCAGAATGAATTCAAGTACCTGTTGTTCTGGGATACTTATACAAGGACTGCAATGTGTAGGAAGATGCAGTTTCATGGTTGTCACACAAAGGCAAATGCTGTGCTATTCACATCTCAGCATGTATTCTGGATAATCTGTTGGTACCCAAAACAGCCCTTTGTTGCTTCAAAAGCATCTCCCTACCCCTCCCTCCATAAGAGTTTATCTCAGCTTCACGGTCATTGGTTGGGGGAGGAAGAGGACACAAAAGAGCTTCACATGCTCTGTCAGATCTCAGTCCTTTTCCCCACAACATTGCCAAGGGTTGGGTCAGCAGCTCCAGGACCTTCCTAAGTGCAAACATTCCTGAGCAGCCCATAGTATAGACTAGAGAGGTAAATAGCCTCCTTTATCTTGGGAGAGGCAATGAAATCAAGAATACCACTGCATACTATTTTTTCAGTGCCCAAGCTAATTTTCACTGGAACAACGAAAAAATGAAAAGATGAAAAAAATCTCTGGAAAAGGATTGCAACATTAGAAAGCAGGGAGGAAATATATTTACCTGAGATTTTATACTTTCCTTCTTTAGTTCTGTTACATGTGATCTAATGCATTCCATTTTCCTTATTCAATACTGCTTCTGTAAAGACAGAAAATTACCTACACTGTTTTCTTGGACTAGATAAGGAAGTTAAAGTAATTGTACTGGATTGGAGTAAAAACCCACATAACCTCTCTCTTAAAAGCAGATGGATGAAGACAGTTACCAGAATAGAACAAGCTTACTTCTCCCAGACTTCAGTGCTTTGAAGATTTTGGACTTCCTGAGCCAATAGTCATGTAATGTTGTCTTTAATAGCTATCAATGGACTGATCTTCCAATCAATAAAAATAAGGGGATTCTTCCTTTTAAGTCAACATAACACGGCATCCTGATCTTTCAGAATGCCTGGAAAATTTATTCACACAGTGTATCCTAGGGATTTTTAATATCTCACTTTCTCTTATTTTTTTAATAATTTCTGTTGAGCAGTTTAATTTTGCCTCTGCATCAAAATGAAGCCACTAGCAACACAGGAAAAAAATAAAAAGGCTGCATGTATGATGCCAACCCATGACATTGTTGTGGGCTGGCCCCAGTTAGCAGTCAAGCACCCACACAGCCTACACAGCCTCTTACTCACTCCCCACAAGTAGGAATGGACAAAAATAGGAAGAACAAGAGCAAAAAAACTCATGCTTTACCATCACAGGCAAAACAGACTCAACATTGAGAATTTAACTTAGTATAAAACATTAATTACTGAATTGAGTACTGGGAAACAAAAAAGAAACAAACACCTAAGGAAGACATCTTTTCTTCACCTTTCCTAGTCTCGGCTTTGCTTCAGGCATCTTCCTTCCCCATTCCCAGTCTCCATACCTGACCTTATCACTGCAGGTTATGCTCAGTCTCTTTGGTGAGGCAATAGGCAGTGCAGTAGGTTGGGGTCAGGGCACAGCATGTTCTCTCTGCCACTCGTTTCTCACTATTCTTTACTGCTGCTCCTTCCTTCTTGTTTCCTCTGCTCCAACATGAGTCCTCCACAGGTTTCATTTCCTTCAGGTGTGACTGCTCCATCATGGACCTGTTCTCGGATCTTGCTGTTCCTTTCCCTTGGTCTTTATCACCATTTTTTAAAATGTGTTTTCACACATTAGCTCAGCTGTGTCCTGTGGTGGTCCTGCTGTGGGGCCATCTGTAACCATCCATGTCAGAAAAACACAATGTCCTTGAGGAACAACAGTTGAAAAATAACCACAAAAATTTTTAAATTATTGAGTCAGCTACCCACAGAGAAATAAAGAGGATATTAAGGTTACAATGTACTATAAGTCTATTTGATTTATTAAAAAAAAACCAAACACACTATATATATTCATTAATTTCTCTTCATATTTTTATGGCAATTTTTATTTACATTCTTGAAATCACATAATGGTTGAGGTTGGAAAGGTCCTCTGGAGGTCATGTGGTCCAGCTTGCCTACTCAAGTAGGATCACTTAGAGCAAGGTGTCCAGAACCACCTTTTACGTAACTCCAAGGATAGAGACTTCACAGCCTCTTCAGGCAATCTGTGCCAGTCTTCAAGATTATTCAGAGATATTTTTTTAGTTCTCCACACTTATAATATTACCTCTTTCAAAAATATCTAGAATGTTTTAATTAAACAATTGTCATGATAGATTTCTACTCATTGTATCCACAGTAGCAATATTTTTCAGTTCCACAGCTCAGAACCTGCCATTCCATGGGCCAACAATAAATTTACACCTTGTCATGGTTTGAGATAGCCCCAAAATCCTAATTCTCTAGCTCCATCCCCCCTCCCACATCTCAACCTAATGTGAGATGGGTTTTTTCCAGACAAAACACAACCAGACTCAAAGTGGGGGAAAGGGAATATATTACAATGACTGTACAAATAAATACTATAACACATTATACACACGATCACAACTATCTCTACCATGACATATAGTATTTACAATGGATCAGATCTCTTCTCCCCTCCAAATAAAAGTCCAGGAGGGAAAGAAGGACAGATCCCCTTCCAGTCCCTCAGGGCAGCAGCTTCTTCTAAGGCAGCAGGTTCTCCTCATCTCATGCATGCAGCCGCTGATAGCTGGATCTCTGCCAGCACTCACGAGGGGGGTATCCAAGCCTCCTCGGCCCCGTCGTCAATCAACCAAAGGGGTCTTCCGTGGGCTGCGTTGACCCCAGACAAAGGTCACTCCACCACGGTCATATCACGAGACGCAGGGGGGTCTTCGTGACCGTCTGGTATCTCCAGGAGATTCAAGCTCCTTGCAGGGCCTCTGTGCCCTGTCTCAGGCTGCGAGCTTCTTTGTAGCTTGCAGCAAGGGAGGGCCCCCAAGGCCAACCTCCCACACCGTCCTGGCTCAGCTCTCAGGACGACTGAGCTTCTCAGCTCCTCTCTGCAAGTGCTGTAGCACTCCAAGGCTCCTCTCCTTAGTAGGAGTCCATGTCCCTCCTTTCCTGGAGGTCTCAAAACAGGTTTGGGGGATCTGGTATCAGTTCCTATCCCCAGAACTCCATAGCTCTGCTGCGGGCTCTCTTCTCCTCAACTCTCCTTCCAGGAGTCTTCTCTGCGGTGCTGCATGTCTCTGTTGCTCCGTCTTATCTCTTCTGGCTCTCTGCCACCGCTTCTCTGGTCAGTGCCAGCTCGGCTGCTGCTTTTCTCCGGCCGCTGCCCAGTTTGGAGAAAACATTTCCCAGCTCACAGCTACAGAGTCCAGCTTAACACTGTTCCAAGTCTCTGTAGCCCCCAACTGGGGCTGGGGGGCCCCAGAGGCCCCGAGGGGCTCCGGGCCCCTTTCCTCGTGGCTCCTACCACATGGCTACTTCTTCAACCAACAAAACTACAACTCTTCTCTTCCGGTGCTTGTGATATGTTTACATTTCTGCAGGAGCGCTCATTGGACAGAACTTCAAAACTTCCAGGGGTTTCCACCCCTGGGGGTTACCACTTTTCAGCCTCTGGGGGAAAACAAGGTTCAAATCACTACACACCTCGACCCACTTGGTTCTCCCTCAGCTCTCATTTCGTCAGCTGACCTGAAATGACACATTTCTGGTTGGTGCTTTATGCAACATATCTTTGCATCAGGTCTGTTTGAAGTGCTCGGGTCTCTACAAGGAGTGGAGTCTTTCTAGGAAGTGTATTGCCTTTCTAAACTATCAAAAGACCATCACATGATGTCTTTTAACATTTGCAAGCTTCTGAAAAGAGTTAGATGCAATGACATATCCGAAGTTCCTACGTGGCATATAACACTTGGACTAGAATCAGAACGGTCAACTATTTCTATGCATCTTTTATTTGTATCAATACCTGTTCAGAACGCCATTATTACTGGCCTTTTAATTTGCTTCCTCATCACTGGTTCCCTGGACAATATATGTATTTTTAATTCAAGTATTTCAGTAGCCGCACAGTTTTTAACATGATACATTTCATACTGGCTTAACATACTGGCTTAATACTCCTGTGTTATATTAGGAATCAGGAGAAATACTTTCTATATTTTAAACTTCTATTTTCATTATCCAGGAGATAAGCTGATTTAGCAATGTTAGTAAAAATAGACAGAAGACGCTGTAATTTGTTGTGGTTGCCACTAGTGAAAAGAAGGAAAGTCTTCTGAATAGAGCATATATTAATTTTACACAATAGGGCCTGTTTGCCTCATAAAGCCACTAAAAGAAACATATTGAAACACAGGAGTGCCTTGATTATATGAACACTTTTCTCAGGCTTTTCTCCTATTTTAGTATAAAAATTAGTATTTATTGAGGTCATGTCTTTGTTTAGGCAATCCCTTGAGAGAAAAATCACACTTAGTTTATTCAACCTTGGACAGGAATTTTTTCCAGCATGGTTGTGTTTTAGCAAATAGTCTTTACATCAAAAGTTCTGAATTATGCAATTAACTTTATCTTCTTGTGTCAGGCTAAGAGTCACAGGTAATCCTCACCAAAATTATGGAAATATTCTCACTAATACAATCATTTTCTGTTCCCCATAGCCACATATTGTAAATTATGCAAATGAACAAAAAGAAAACAGCAGTTTATTTTGTGATACACCCTTCACAGCTATCATTCATATGATAGAAAAGCTGTTAAGGCATGGAAATTGATAACATGCAAAACACAAAACACTACTGATAAAGGAAAAAAATAAACAAAATTACATAAACACATGCTTCATCAAAATATTTCAGCAAATGCTGTCTTTTTCTGCTGTATATGTGTGGTGCTATGTTGAATTGACTGCCAGATTCCCTACACACGTAATTTCTACGTTGTACATATAAAGATGCGATGAGAAAGAACAAACTTTTTGAGTTGCTATTTCTTCGGTCTTCTGGATTCATTTCATCATAGTAGCACTCACTTTCATCAGTTCAGATTATTAAACAGGTAATATATCAGTGTCTGATATGGTGTCTGAAGCTGTTAATAGCTAATCTAATGTAGGCAGTCTTGGCCTCAGGTCACACAGAACAAATTATTGAAGGCACATTTTGTGGACTGAAGTTGGGGTACAGTATTTTGAAACAAATTTGGTACTCTTCAGTGTAATCAAAAATTGCAAGTCTGATATGCTTCTCAGTTGCTTTTGGAGGAAATGGATGGTTATTACTCAAAGGTTACCACAATCCAGTGTTGGCTTACATCATGACATCTTTACTTGTCATGATAATAATGATATTTCCATGATACAGTATAGATTTAGATAATAACTATTATTACATGCTTTTCCATACACTATCTCCTCAGGGAAACACAACCAGTTGTGAGCCTCCTCGTCTCAAAGACGATTTGTCTTTTAAAGTAGAAAGCTGAATAGAATTTTATCAACTACTGCCACATATTCTGGGATATTTTTATACCCCAGACTACATGTTGGGTTATTCTAATCTTTTCTTATCATAGGTAGCTCAGAGCTGAAGGTAAATTTGCTACACTGTCACAGTATTAAGAAGGCTTTGGCACAAGACAACAGGACCCATTCAACTTCCTAAGAATGTCGTGCAGTGTATTAACTGTTTTAAATTAAATAATTACTTTCCCACAAATAAGTATTAATCTTAGTGTCAGGTTATCAAAATTTAAGACATACAGAGAACATTATTGTAAGAATATGGCAAAAAAAATTTAAAAGACAGATTTCTACCAGTTTCTTTAAAAACATTAAAATACTATAGTTAAGTTACTGATAAGGTTTTTAAATGTATATGGGAATTTGAACTGATGTGAAAGCGTTTTCCCTTTTTCTGAAGCAAATTTTCCCTGGCAAATTGTTTAACAAATCTTAACAGCACTACACATAGCAACATAGTAAGCCAACATGTATTTATGGCTTGCAAGATGTCCAGGTTAATGGAATTATATAAACATTCATCAGAAAAAAAAGATATTGTATTTTAAATTCTTCAAAACTAACAAATTACAAAATCAAAAATACATCAATGCAAAATAATCATTTAAAAATTACCTACTTATCATCAGGAAATTCCTTAACATCGATTAGTATGCAAATCTCATGCCTTGCAGAGACTGGTTTTTGAAATGATGGCAAATGCATGCATCCTGCTTACTCACTGCGGGGACTGTTCAAGGAAGAGAACATCTGCAATGTTGAATCATGAAGCTGTTACCATAGTAACATGCCTATCTTTAAAACAAACAATGTTCTTACAGTGTTTACATTTATTAAAAAACCTGATTTCTATGAACCTGATCTTACCTGATGGCATCTCTTTTCTGTATCCTCCATATTTACTACTCAAATCTTTTTTTTAATATGAAATCAAAGGCTATTTTGCCTACATATATCTTTACCTATAACAAGCCTTAATTGTTTTTAGAATATAAAATTGATTATTTTATTCTTTTAGCACTGAGAGCATACTAGATACTTGTGGGCTAGCACATTTGTTCAACATTTTTCATAAAGATTGCTCTGAAGGAAAGTATCTATTCTTCTCCTTTCCAATAACAAGCCATAACAAGGATGTCTCAAGCATGCACATAATCTGAAGTCCCAAAGAGGATTCTTATCTTCCAACTAGTATCTTCATAAGCCCCTTTTCATTGTGTTCTGCTTCCAAACAAAGCCTTGCTCAGTGAGCTCACCATCCTACGTAGCTGCACACAAAACATCTAAATCTAGAGACCTGGTGAAGTCAAGAGTTAAAAAGTAAATCTAAG